TGTAGATGAGGTGCTTATGGACATGGTTTAACAGGCATGATATTGAGGGGCTTATGGTTGGACTTGATGATCTCAAAGGTCTTTTCCAACCATAATGATTCTGTGATCACATGATTTGAATCATGCCTACAAGCAGGGACAGTTGCAGTAGCAGAGATGGGCCTTTCTCTGTGCTGTTTCTTTGCCCACATAACCCCTTGCCTTCACCAGCCCATCCAGTCTTTGGGACCGCTGAGACTGACCAACCTGAACAACTGCTCTTGGACACAGCTGTTGCATGCGGGACATTTGGGAATGGACACATTTGGGTGAGAGCTGGTCAGCCTCCAGGAGCCCTGGTGATGTCTGAGGTGAGGAAGACACAACTGTCCTGGGCGCAAACCAGCAAGCCCAGGGCATGAAGTGGGTGCAGCAAGAGAGGGAGGGTGAGATTGACAGTGAGACAACAGGTCTCCTTGTGCAAAGCAACCCATGACTTGTGCTGTCCACCAGAGGGAGAGCTGAGCATAAAGCTGGGCAGAGGGGCCTTCTCCCACCCACAGCCACCACTATGTCCCACTGCCATCAGCACAGCCTGGAGGCTGCAGAGCTCCTGCAGGCCCTGCTTGACCTTGTGGGCAGTGGTGCAATGCTGTGCGCACKAGGGCTCTGGCAGAGCCTTCTGAGAGGCTGCTCCGCACTCAGCAAGACTACAGAGGTGAAGCACTACCCCATGCAGGAGGAGGCAGCTTCACAGAGCACAGGGCTGGGCATTCATGGGTATCTCCAAAGCAGCTATTGCTGCTGCTCACTCCCCAAACACAAGGACAAAAGTCCTTCAGTTCTGGGGTGTTGGGCCTGCAGGAAAATGGAGTGAAAAAAAAAAAAAAAAAAAAAGAGTTTGAGAGCTTATGGAGGAACTGGCTGACAGTCATTCACAAACTCAGCCTGAAGCAAGTTGAGGGGATCTACTCTCACTCATTCCCACTACAATTTCACTCTCCCTTAATCTTCTGGCAAGCAGCCCCACAAACACCCTGATGGGGGTGTCCAGGGTTCCTGGCCAGCCTCACTGATGCTCACAGCATAGGACAAGCAGCAGCAGGGACTACTCACAGCATCCCTTGCCTTGCTCTTTATGCATGACAGCCTCTCCTTTGTGCAGAGATCTACTCCGTCCTTGACAGCCATCAGCTGGCATCAGGTACTGCTTGGCCTCCCAGTCTGACTCACTTTGCCTTCCCTCAGTCTCCGCCCAGGTCACTGCGCACTTCTTCACTGGGGTCTCGCTCTCTGTTCTGGCTCTGGCTCTGGCTCAGACTCTGACTCTGACTCACCATTTATCTTAGAAGCCAGGGATATTTAGAGTCTTCTGGCTCTGTTCTATGGGACTAAAGCAGGAGGCCTGGCAGAGGGCACGTGCTGCCTCCTTGGTGCTGTCTTCACCCTGGGCAAATTCAGGCTTTTCTGTGCTGGGGCCTTGCACCTGCAGCCTCTGCAACTTGTAAGCCTGGCAATTCCAACTAGAAGCATCTCCCTCGCCTGCCCTCTCACTCCAAGCCTGAAAAGAAACCTCTGAAGTCAGTCATGATCTGATCCCGGCTTCTTCTTTCCATCTGTGAGACCAGATCCTCCAGGAGGCAACCAGGAAAGACAGACTGACAGAGCCAACTGTGCCCTCCTTTTTCCAGAATTGCTTTCCTGGTGGCCTTTGGCTCTTCTTGTGACAAATTGGCACTGTCAATCTTGGGGCATGAAGCAACACTGAAGTATGAGCCTAAGAGCAAAGAGGGGCAGGGACTTGTAAGTTTATGGATCAACATGGCATGGGAAATGTTGAGCAGTTCTTTGCATCTTGATGGCCTTCCTTGGGCAGTGAAGGTCTTTTCAGGGTTGCTTTGGGAAGTTGCTTTCAGGAAACCACTGCTGTGTGCTGTGCTTTGGCTTTCCCTTTTGAAGCAGGACTTGGACCCCGAGCAATCTGCAGACTGCACATTTGAGTTATGCTGTCTTTGGAGACATGGAGCCTTGGAGGCTGAGAGCTATGTGTGATCTCGTGGCACTGTTTTAGTTCTATACCTGCTCAACATCCCTTTGGCTTGCAAAGTCTTCATGGCATTGATAAACAGAGGATGCCAAGGGAGGCAGAGGGCTGGGGGCCACAAAGAACATGTCCAAGGTCAATGAAAGAAAGGCCCAAGCCATGCCTGTGAGCACATGCTGCTCACAAACTCCTAAGACTCTTTGTTTTTTGTCTACTGGTGGAACCCTGGCCTCATGGTCCCACTCTGCTATCAACCTCATTTGGGCACTTGGTGTCTAGTCACCTGGGCTTCCTGCTCAGGGACAAAAGGGAGCCCTGGGCTACCTCCTCACCTCCTTGCTCCCTCCCACACTCAGAAGCATGCACACCTAGCCCACTGACCAGCCTCTCAAGCCCTGTCTGTGCCCAGGAGCCACSAGAGAAGCTGTAGCGGTTGTTTTGGGCAAGCAGAGAGCTCAGCGCCTGGGAAGGGGCACCATTATAAAGCACCCTGCTGATCTGAATGCCTTCAGTGTAAATGAACCTCCGGGCAAGTTGGAGCAGATGCGTAAATGCACCAAGCCAGCTGATTTGTAGTTAGCTCTGCATGCAGGAGAGGTCAACTCCCTTAAGCAGAGGACTGGGCACCCGCAGGCAGCTGTGAAGCAGAGCAGTGGTTTCTGCCATTCCCTTGCCAGTTTGAGAGACAAGTCACCTTTGTGGTGCTGGGCCTTCAGAAACTGGTGCAAAAAACCTGAGTTTGAGAGCTTATGGAAGAAGAGGCTGAAACTCGACCTGAAGCAAGTTGAGGGACGCGTTCCTGCTCATTCCCACCACTATTTCACAACACCTGCTCAAGAACTTAGGGTGCAGAGCAGGCCTTTCCCTCCAGGGCCTCATCCCAAGCAAGGCAGGCAGAAAAAGCTAGGAGATCATGGCGATGTTGAAGCCAGAGTGCAGAGCATGAGGCAAGTGTGTGGTAAAGATGAAGGTGGGAATCCAGTTCCACTTCAATGGTGGGTGCAGCCCAAGACTGCTGGGGCTGAACTCTCCCCACCACCCTCCACTTGCAATGAGCGGCTCCACTTCTTCTGTATGATGTTTCAGGCGCCGAAGTACTGGGCTGGGATCTGTTGCACRTGGAGGGAAATTCTGTTAAACACCACTCAAGCACACAGATCTAACCCGGACTCCTTTTTGGTCTAGCACTGCTGTATTGTTAAAAAACCCCATCACTGCACCGGAGCCCTTGTGTGGATAGTAATTTAGGTAAAAGAGTGACTGTGAATTTTGCCTGCTAAATGCTGTTACTGAAATATATAGCATGAATATGTATAAATACCTGAAGGGTGAATGTAGGGAGGGAGGAGTGAAACTCTTCTTAGTGATGACCAGTGACAGGACAAGGGGCAATGGGTACAAGTTGAAGCATAGGAAATTCCATCTCAACATGAGGAAGAACTTTCCTGTGAGGGTGACAGAGCTGGAACAGGCTGCCCAGGGAGGCTGTGGAGTCTCTGGAGGTCTTCAAAGCTGCCTGGACGCCACCCTGTGCCCTGTCCTCTGGGTATCCCTGCTGGAGCAGGAGGTTGGACTAGATGATCTCCAGAGGACCTTTCCAACCTGAACCATTCTGTGATTCTATGAAATGCGAATATGTGGGTGCCGAGCACAGGCCTCGATCCCCCGTTTCCTGGGGCCTTTCCAACGGCCCCCGGCGTGCGCTGAGCCACGGCAGCCCCGCGCAGGCGCTGTGGCGGCCGCTGCTCGCCGCCCTGTGAGGGGAACGGCGGGAGGCGGGAGGCGGTGCCCGCTGCGCAGCCCGGGCCGCACTTCCCAACGGTGCTGGGAAGAAAAGGAGCGAAAGGGACCCTGTTTGAGGGAGGGAAAGTGGTAAGAGAGAGAGGTGGGAGAGAGAGACAGGGAGAAAGGAGAGAGAGGAGGAGGGAGAGGAGAGGGGCAGCAGGGTGGGAGAAGGGAGAAAGAAGCGAGAGGGATGGAGGGAGGTGTGCTTGGTTGGAATGCTGCAAGAAGAGGCGGTAAGAAGATTAGTGCACCCCATCCTGAAGGAAAAGTGAACTCCAGGCATTCACCTGCAGTCTAGACCCAGGTTTACATGATCTTGGAAATGTATTGAAACGCCAGAAATGAAATGACTGCAGAGACAAGTTGCGCTGGAGYTCTGCTTTCTGTCAGGACCTAAAGTGCATGGTTAAGTGAATTAACTCACTGAAAGAGCAGGGTCATCTTCTGCAGCAGATCAAACTGCTTCTTTAGACCAAATGACTATCCCAATGTTAAATTGTACTTGGAATAATAAGTGTTTTTTTTCTGAAAAAAAAATCTGATCTGAAGACCTGAAAAAATCTGAAGAGGTCTGATGTTCAAGGTTCCCATGTAGTTCAGAGATTCTGGATTTTCAAGCAACTCTTTATCTCTAATTGAGTTCTAATATTTCACAATTTCAAACATCATCAACAACAAAAGGATTTCTGTATAAATAAAACAGTTGATGCTTGTTTATTCAGTCATTGTCACCATCAGCACCTGCCCATCTCACACCGACACACTGTAACTGTAACTGAAAACAACAGTTTCCCCCAAAGTTCGGGTAATGAGTTTGCCCCTGCAGAACACAGGCCTGGTTTTCCCAGGAACCAAAATGCTGCATTGCCTGATGACAATATTTGATTTTGGCCCCAACTCTAAATCATCATCATTTGTGCAATTCCTTCTATTTTGCACATTCCTCAAGATTTCACACATAACATTTGTCTGTACTATAAATACTTTGCAGGCACTTTCATAACACTCTGCATAAGACCTCTGAACTCTGCCTTTGAAGGCATGGATACTTGGAAATAACTGATTCCACAAATGTAGCATTAGAGCAATAATTTATATAGAACCTTTCATCCTGCCTGGCACCTTATAGTTTCTGTTCACTCCAGAATTGATTCTCTGAACACTCCAAGTGTGAGTCTCTTCTGATGAGCAACAGAAGACCTAAAAATACAGACTTTATATGAGAGTCCTTTTGTATGTTATGCTAAATAAATGCAGCCCTCTCTGAGGTAAAGGACAGCAACCATATTTCATCACATTACATATCAAGGGAGGGATAATTGTAGTTCTGGATATAAGGTTTGCTTCCTTATCTTAAAAACATGCCACGTGGAGTTTGCAGTGTATCTCATCTGAAAGATAACCATGCAGGAATCATCATGGTCTTCCTTTTTATCAGACTCAAAAATAAAGATCCAAAATGGACCTTCTCAGCTCAGGAATCTTTGGTTCCACACAGTCTTAAACAGAAAATGCAGAGCACTATCCCCTTCGGCTGTTTCAAACTCCCAACAGGAGGGTGGATGAGAAGCTCTGAGGTATCTGTGTATCTACATAGGCTTTTGACATTGTTCAGAAAATTGGCAATGGGAAATACTAAAATTGTTGGACGACAGCTGTGATGGCACTGCGCTTCATGGCTCGATACTGCGCAGTGCTAAGCACCCTCATAGAAGCTGAGAATTCTTCAGTCTCAGTGTCTTTACTGACACTTGAAGGTCTTCAAATCCTTCCACATTTGAAATGTCTTGTAATCTCTTCTGGCACTGGCAGAACTTGAAATTCCGCCTCAAAAGGCTTGCCTGCCTTGYACATTAACCAGAAAGGATCATTACAGAAGTATGCACCAAGGAACAGTTTAGTCAATGTGAAGCAGTTGCTTCTTGATGACTCACAGATGCTTTTTGTTTGCAACTCAGAAAGGTCATGGGTCCTTTTACAGGTTCATTGCTTAGCATTTGCAGTTCCTCAGTTCAGCAAAGAATATGACTTGGAAGTGTGTTCAGAGGAAGAGGTGGATGGCTCTGAAGAAGATACTTGGTATTTTCCTGCAAAGCAAAGCAAAGGAAGTAAACATGGGCACAAACAGTGTGAGACATGTTGGCGGTGACAAATAAGAAGGGTTAAGAGACACAAATCCTGATGACCTCAGAGGCCTTGACTTGCCCTGCAGCCCTGATGCTAGCTTTTATTTCTGGGATATGGCAGTGTCAGAGAATAAAAAAACTCCRTATGTTTGGTAGCACAACCTAGAGCTGTCTGTTTGATCTGAGAGTGCTATCATAGGGTTGTAATTTGCCTACACAAATGGAACATCTGAGTGGTTCTTGAGCATGGAAGACTATCTAGAAAATACACTTTTTAGGTGAGTTCCAGCTCCCTCTGTCCTGTGACCACAAGGCCTTTTACTGAGATGCACAAAGYGCACAAGCTGATACTATGGGAGTTTCAGATAGCAGCATGGGAGGCAGTCATAGGCAAGCCTTGTTCCTTCTGGTGGGAGGCGTTTTATACCAGGGTAGTGTGATCACGTAAACTAGCAGAACCAGGGACTAACTTCTCATTCCAGCATCTAACTCAACCAGCTTAAAAAGCAGTTGCTTATATTAGCCTTTCTATCCCACACTTTGACAAAACTTAGAGCCTACTCTGAGCAACAGTTGAACACAAAGATCACATGCTTAGGAATTAAATTATTCATATTTTCACTACTGCTTCTTGTAAAATAAACTTGTATCTGTAATGGTGGCCTCTGTAAAATAACTAACAGGGACCCTTAGAATACCTACAGCTGTAGCTCCAAGGTGGCAGGGAGTACAAGGACACAAACCTGAGGAGCAGTGTGGGGAGATCACATGAGATTATTTGAGTTACTACAGTTCATACTAGAAAATGAAACTGCTACTAGGGGATGCAAGGATGGAAGAGAGAGATGGATGGATAGATACTGAGATAGAAACACCCTGTAAATTAGAACTCAGGTAACCCCCCTTTTGAACTTAAGGAGGAGAAATATCACGTACCTGTTTTGCCACATAARTTGTTAAAAGTTCTTGAAAATGGGTAGTTCATAGAGAACATTGGAGTGACCAGGATAAGAGACGTTGACTGAAAGAGAGAAATTGCTTTTTGTTAAAAACATTGGATTTTCTCTGCAGTCAYGTTTAGAGGAAAATATAATTAAAATATTGATCAGCAGTATAAGCAGTCCAAAAAGGGACCTCATACATTTTCATGTTTATGATGGCAGTGAAGCTGATAAACTACAAGGCAAAGCAAACAAACAAAACTAGGCTGTATTTAACTGCTGACCAGGGAACATAGCTTTGTCTTTAGACTCTGACCTACCAGACAACACAGAAATTTAGTAGCTCATGTGAGGGAGAATATCTATAAAGGTAAAAAAAATAAAAATAAAAAATAATAATTGTTATGCTTTTATAGGTGGTCACAAAAGGCCAATAGGCTGAGATAATCAGAGGCAAATTTAACTTGATCCACTAGAGGGCAATCGAACACAGCTTTGTACAGTCCAAATGGGAAGGAAGAAAGGGCGCTTTTGTTAATGAAAATAAAGGAAGTTTTTCCTTTTGTTCTGAAATGATTGCATCAGGATTGAGAAAGTAATGATATTCCTGGAAGAGATATATTTAAAAAAAAAAGTATGGAAAACAAATCCATGTTCATTTCTTTGCTATTCATTGTTTATCATGCAGTGTAAAATATCAATTCTGTGCACTGTCACCTAGTTCCTAATGTGCTAAAGGAAGAATGTAAATACATTGTTTAAAAAGTTTGATGAAAGATTTTGACCATGCTTTGTTTATTCCTTATCAGCAGAACAGCCAAGGCAAACAAGCGCACTGACTGGGGCATGGTCAACAGCATCAAACAGTTGCAAGTGTCTGGCCCACAAGATTTTGCTAAAAGAAATTCAGAATTGAGGCCTGTGACTTAACAAGTGACTCTACTTTATTCTGCGAGGAGGAAATAAAAGAACTTCAATGCTTATTTTTCTTTGATAGTTGTACTGTTTGTTCTGGGTTGAGAATGACTTAATTCAGCTTCCTGGGAAAAAGGAAGTATTCTCACAGTCCAAATAGCACCATATCCAGCAGCTGCCATTTTCAAACCACAGATACAGAACGGCACTTTAAAATGCATTAGCAAACGTTCCCAGCTCCAAATTTCCAGCACTTACACTCCGGCAGAAATAGCTGGATATGCAGTGATAGTTAAAATACATACATGTATATAAAAAAGTGGATGGTTCTGGGTATCAGATCAAGCATAGTGAGGCAGAGTTTTTATCACGCCTGTCTCATGCTGACACAGAGCCTGCATGTGACAAAGCACTGAGGTACCCAAAAAATTCACTACTACTCTGCCTTGATCAGAATCTGCCTCCTGGGTTGCCCTCAAGAAGAATATGGTACAGAGACCAATACTATTTAATATCTTTAATGATTTAGACAATGAGAAAAAGTGCACCCTCCTCAGGTGTGCAACTATCTTACAAAACCAGAAGTGGTTGATACAGCAGATGGTTGTAGTGTCATTTGGGTTGACCTTGATGGATGGGAGAAGTGGGCTGACAGGAATGTCCTGAAGGTCAACAAAGGGATCTTCAGGTCAAGTGATGTCCCTGGGGAGGAGCAACCTGATGTACCAGCACGGGCTGGGGACTGACCGGTTGGAAAACAGCTTGGCAGAAGAGCCCCTGGGACCCTTGGTAAATAAGTTGATCATGAGCCAGCCCTTGAGACAAAGCTAACAGCCTGCTGCGCTCCACTGGGTAAGTGTTGCCAGCAGAACCTCTTTTATAGAGTCTGTAGGACATGTGATCTCATTTGGTACTAGAATTAGCACAGAAAAGATTTCCTGGTCCTGGATGCATCTGTGCAACRTGCCCCATTCTGGGCTCCACAGTAACAGAGAGACATGGACATACTGGACTAAGTCCAGCAAAGGGACACGAGGATGTTTGGAGGGCTTGGAGCATCATACAAGGAGAAGCTGAGAGAGCTGGGCTTGTTAAAACTGGAGGAGAGAAGGTGCGGGGAGATCTTATGTGTGTAAATATCTGATGCGACAATTAAAGAAGGGAAGTCAGACTGTCAGTGGTGGCCAGTGAAAGGACAAGAGGCAATGGATACAAAACAGGCAATTCTGCTTTGATATAAAAGAAAACATTTTTCCTGTGAAGCTGTTAGAAGACGTTGCCCAGAAAGGTTGTGAGTGGCCATCCTTGGAGACAGACATTCAAAATCTGACTGGACATGGTTCTGAGCAACCTGTTCTCGTTGTCTCTGCCCTGAGCATGGGGTTGGCATAGATGATCTCCAGAGATGYCAACTTCAGTAATTCTGTGATGCTGTGGGAGCTGAGATGACTACAGCCAATGCTGTCGCCCTCAAGTCAAGAGTCACAGAATTACAGAATCACAGAGGTTGAAAGGGACCTCTAGAGATCATCTAGTCCAACCCTCCTGCTCAAGCAGGGACACCTAGAGCACATTGCASAAGATCACATCCAGCAGAGTTTTGAATAAAAAAGTCCATCCGTAGTTTCTTTCATTTCTTAGGGACTACATACCTTTTTGTCTTAACAATGTCCTTCTTCCAAGTCTGCTCTCCAATTCTTTAGCAATCCATCTAGACGCTCTTCTGAATAAAGCCAGTTCAGATACCAGCCTAAACTCTCATCATACAGTAGAGATGCTAGTATTTCCCACCACTCTTTCCAAGCCCAGTCCCAGTGGTTAAATTCTGATACCTTCATCCCTGACCAAGCCTAGAGCGGATTCCTTGGTGATGGGTCATCAGTGGAAAGGTGTGAATTGAAACCAGGATTTCAAGGGAAGAGAACACACTGGGGGGCAGCAAWGGTGGTGAAACCAGATATAATAAATTGAGACTAAAAAGAAGCTAAAGGAGATTTGCTAACAAGAAGAGCTTCCCATGGGTGAAGTAAAGCTTTCCCTGGTGAAAGCCCTGCCAAGTTAGAGTAGACTGTAGCACTCACAAATTTATTGCAAAGGGATGAGCAAAAGATGGCTCATAGATTTATAGGTGGTGAGGTTGGAAGAAATCATTGTAATCTCTGCTGTAATATCAGAATAACACAAATTAATTATTCCTCTTTTAGGAGCTAAGGTGGTAGGACTTTCATTTTTTTACTTTTCAGCTGTATGGTGGAATGTGAAATTAAATGTATTGCAATGTAGAATGTTCAGAAATATCCATCTTCTTGTAGCTTTCTTCAGACAGTGGGTTTTTGTTTGTTTGTTTGTTTGTTTGTTTGTTTTCCCTTTTGTCTGAAACATTTATGTATTTTATGCCTGAGAATGTGACGACCTTCTGTGGGAAGTGATGGTAGAAGTAGAGGTGAACATGTCTGTACTAGAAACAGAAAGATGGTGGAAGAAAAGAGACACTGTTCTGACAAGAGATTTCTACTTTCTGCCATCCTCTCTTTCCAGTATGAATTGGAAGTCCCAGCAGTTAGAGTCTGCATCCTTTCTTCCCTGTACTTGGAAGGCATCTTACCAAGAAGTTCCCTTTGCATTTATGGTATGGTTGCAAATATTAACAGTGCCACTGAAAATTTCTGATTTTTCTAACTTAGGAAAACTTTCAGTTCAATGTTTTTTTTCTTACGGATTTTAGCGTTTATTTTATATGTGTTGATTGTGATCTCCCAGCCTCCTCTCATGTTTGAACCGCAGCTGAAATAACTTTGAAAAGAGAGAGAGGTGGCATTTTTGTAGATATGTTGTTAATTTCTCTGACCAGTCTTTCACTGAGCAGTTCTTGTAAATAATTAGTAATAAAAAGTGCAATTGTCTATAAAAACACTAGAAAAATGTTAGACTATTCAACAGGAATTAAGAAGTACATTCTTAGGGAAGGGATTTAACCTTTGTTTGCTGTGAACTCCATCTGGACAGTGAATTCCTCTTCAACAAGGCTTCTTGTATCTATTTGTTCAAAAAAAAGTCAGTAAATACAGCAGTTATGTTCAAATTTCAATTATATCTTTCGTGATGCAGTATAAATAGTAATTTGAGTTCTTACCTTCTTGTCCCAGAGAGTCCCAAACACCAAAATGAATAATCCCTAGGGGATAGATAATTACATTCAGTCCTTGATGCCATCAACATTTTAAGTACAGTATCTCATGGTTATCTCAAACATTGTCCATGTTGACTATTTAAACTCTGACRTCTTTGGTAGAGGGCATTTTTCTTTCTGCATCTCATTTAACACACCACTGATGTGGTAGAGATCTCCAGGCCTAGCCTGTCCAAGCCTTAGACATATCTGGTCTTCAGAAATGATAGAGCTAGCACTAAGCACTTTCCTAGCACTAAGCACACTTGTTAGGATAGCCCTTCCTGTATGGAAGACATGATCTACTCGTGTCCCCAAGATAAGCTAGAAGGCTCACAATATGAAAGGCAGGTGAGTTTGATCTTAAATATGCAATTTTGAAACTATCCTTAAGAGACAGAGTAGGCATAGCCACAGTGTTCATAAGAAATTCTTTTATATCTCCATACTGGTGGCCAGTTAAAATATATTATGAAGATCTTACTGATCGAAAACAATCAATTATCTGGATTTTGGTTAGTTATCCCCCATTTCCCCCTCCCCCCCTTAATATTGTTCTACTGGTTTTAGTGACTTTCCTGTTCTTTATATTCCCTCATTACTTCAACCCACAAGAGCATCCTATGATAATTCTAGATGCAATGAGAGCAGAAATGCTGAAGCTTGGCCAGCTGTAGGATTATTTTTCTCATTTTTGGGATGCAAGTTATCTCCAAAGCAACTGTCAAGGGCAGAAGTGATGTTAGCTTTATTTGCAAGGCTTATCTGTGAAGGCAGCTGAGAACACATGATGCTCCTATAATGGGTTTCCCAAAGAGCCCTTTGGGAATAAGGATGTGTAAGACAAATCTGAACTTTTCYAAACTATGTTTATTCTCCTCAAGCACAGCCCTGTAGTAATGTTAATACATGTTAAATGGTCATAGAAAAAACAAAACCATGCACAAGTGTAACTCACCTGAAAAGAATTGAGCAGAGCAAAGAGAATGTGAAATGCCCGAGAGCTGCTTCTGACGATGGTGGCAAAGCCAAATCCCCAGGTGAGGCCTAATAGTGGTGTCAGGATAGCCACACTTTTCCCAATTTGAATCAAAGAGCTCCTCTCCTGCTTGTTTGTCCTGTCTCCAATGGTTGGCCTCAGTATTTTTATTATGACGACCGCAGTGATGAACAGATTAATGACCACAACGATGAGGACAGGTATGACAAATGCCAAGAGAGCCTTGCTGTCCATCCAGTTGAGCCAGCAGACTTTCTTTCTGGTGTAAACACCCCTTGGCAGAGTGACAGCGATGGTGATGACTGCAATGACTAAGGGGCACCCATATCCCAGGCAGAACGCCACTGCTTTCTGAGCAGTCTTGCTTGTGTTGTGTAAGATGAAGATCAGTCGGTAGAAAAGAATAAGGCCTAGGCTGAGCATCCAGAAAAAGACACTGAGGTAGAATAAATGGACGAAAAAGGTGACCGCTGTACAGAGAGGTTTCTTGTAATGAGTGGAAGCGGTGACAAGGAACCAGATGTCAGCGAGTAGGAGTGACATAGCTATGTTGAGTATACAGACATGGCGCATATAGGACGTCRTGTTGTTTGTCACGTATTTCCAGACTAAGGATTCAATTGTAATGCAGACCACCAAACTAAAGATGGAAATGGCCAGGCCAATGTAGGTAATATAATCTTCAGTGCTTCCCTGATTGGATTCGTCAGGTGACATCAGAATTGAAAATGACGTCAAGTGACGGCAGGAGCAAATGACATCATTTCCTATCTCCGTGGGTGTGCAACCACTGCTGTTCCATTCTCCGCTGCTGTTGGGACCGAAGCTCCAAAACACACACTGCGGATCCTTTAGGGAAGTATTTTTCTTTGCAAAAGTCATATTGATAGAGATGCTGTGGCTTCTGCTTCTGCTCACAGTTGTTGTTAGCAGTAAGCCATTCACAATCATGGACTTACTCTGGGGCAAAATACGTCCAAGGGTTGAGTAGGCCACACTGACAATGGTTGAGTTTTGTGGCAGAGTCTGAACTTCATCTTCATTTATTAGCACATTAACTGTGAGGTTGTCTTTACTGGTGAAGTTCTTATTATAGTCTGTGTTGCTGTTTTCTGTCACTACTATGCCATATAGTTGAATGGTGTCTGTTTTTACAGACGGAATGGTATTATTAACTGGTTGGAGTTGCTCCGAAAATCTTTCGACTGAGCGCAGTAACAAAGAACTTTTCTGTGGCTGCTGCTTATCCAGTGTTTCCCAAGTTTCTATTTTGGAATCATTAACAATCGTGTCCACCGTAGAGAGGAAATTCTATAATGGCAAGAAAGTAATGATGTTATTGGAATCTCACAGAAATGATTGTTATTTTTGGTGGCATTTTCTATGTGGTACTACAATTGCCTTTTGGAAATCCCCATCATTTCCTCTTTTTCCCAAGTCATATGAAACCTTCAGTCATTACCCCTCTGCATGCCCTATTTTGAAGCCAAGTTTTTGAAAAATTAAGCTGCTTGGCTTTTCTTGGCATATTATTTACTATTTCTCTTTGCCACCCTTCTGTCAGAGTTCTCAGCCAGTGTGCTATTCTGGATTCCTCTGTCTCTCATTTAGGGTTCTGCAGCTACAAAACATCAAGTCTTCTGACACTTGTCTGCTCAGAAAAGCAGTTCTGTTCTTCTCAGATTTATACCTCACATTTAAGGTTTTCAAACATTTCTGAGGTATGTTCTGCCATTTATTTTTTTGCTACATTCTGTTGATTTTACTCACTCCATCATGGCCCTGGTATTAGCCCCCCTCTGTTAATTTTAACCCTTTCCTTTTTGTATTCATGCTCCTAGACCATCATTCTTTTCCTTTTCTTCAGATGTTTAGTGCCAGAGACATTTATGGAACCCTAGAACATTTCTGCTAAGTATGTAGTAGTTTTTCTTCCTAGTGCTTAAATCCTTTTGTCCTGTCATTTCATGCATAGACTCATGCATAGATCTTCATCCTGATTTTTTTTTTCTCATATGCTCTTCTGTTTCTTTCTGTTATTTTATCTCATTCCTCTCAGTTCCTCCCTTCTCATGACTCTTAACCATTAATTCTTTTGAGGGGAATTTCTTTGTCTGTGACACAGAATCCAAAGGGCTTGGTAAGTATTGGCAAGACTTAAATAAAACCTTACTGTAACAGTGGCTGTCTCTGCATGTGCTGGGATAGTGGAGACCAAATCCAGGATAGTAACAACTGCACCTAGGTTTGCAGAATGATTTAGTGCACTTTGCTCTGCTGCTGTGTTTCTCTGAAGCTCCTCAAGATACTGCGGCAGGTCTGTTCTTCCGTTGGGATCATTGACCAAAGACTGGAATAGAAGATAAGACATTATATATATGCAATTTATTTAGGGTTTGATCCTCCATAATGGCTGTATCTATACAAATAAAAAAAAACCTGGCCCATGCTTGCCATACTGATAGTATTGAGCCCTCTGTCCCTCCAGCATGGGGTATCTGGACTACTTGTTGAGAATGGTCTCTTGCCTGTGCTATCTCTTAGGCTGATTCTGGGAATTATTTAGGAGAAAATACTTGGCCTCGGCCCAAACCATACCAGGGAGCAGCCTGGGAAAGAGTTAAGATAATAAATGATCGAGTAGCTCTACCTCTGCTTGTCTGATTTACTAAAATAAACCTCAGCCCCAAAGCCTCAGCCCAGCATCTATCTGGGAAGTGCAATGGCCAAGGGGACTCGCTAAAAAGGACCTGCCCGTAGGCTTGGCCGATGGCTCATAGCTGTCCATACTGCTGCACTGCTGGTGCACTCAGTGCCACCTCACACAGGCAATGCCTGAAAAGCCAAGAAAATGCCAGAAAAACTCATAAACGTTACCTCAGCACCCAGAAGCAAGTTGTTTATTGGTACAGAAAGGCAGTCATTTCTGGCAACCACCCAGGAGCCGCTGATGCACTCGTAAGTTATAGTGCCCCGGTTAAAGCCGTCCGCGCTGTTCAGCTCAGTGCACGGCTTCGTTATTTGGGACCCTTCTTCTCCAATGCCCAAACTGCCTGAGCACTGAACTTTCCCACCTGCATTGAGAGAAAGGGATGGAGAACTGAGAAACAAAGATAAACCCCTCATCAGACCTGTGAGCTCACAAAGTTCACAAGTCTTTAGCTTTTAAATTCCAACTTAGCATTTCAGTTTGCCATCTTTGGTAATTAAGACTTTTGGGAGTGTGTATGTCTTGGAAGATGGATTTTTCATAACTACGAAGTCTTTGCTACTGTGCATAATAAGACTAAAGTGCATGTATTTATATCTTACTCTCAAGCTYGAGCATGAACTTTCTTGAAGGTTAGGAAACTTCTCTTTGGGCACTGTAAAATGTATGCTCATTTACAGGGATCTTAACACCTGCTGATTCTGTCAGGTACCAGAAGCAACATGCTTGAAACTGTATTTTTCTCAGATGAAACAAAAGCAAGCAGCAAATCCTCTTGAATAAAATAAAATAAAATAAAATAAAATAAAATAAAATAAAATAAAATAAAATAAAATAAAATAAAATAAAATAATAAAATTATTTTAAATTCCCAGTCCATTTTTTTGAATCATAAAGTTCAAAAGAATATTGAGTCAAACCCCTTGTTTTGAAGTACTGAACCAAGTCCAAAAAACAGCACCCAAACTTTTAGAATTTGCCTATTAGATTAAATTGGAAAACAGAATTGTAGATGTGATTATATTAATCACTGTGGGAACTGTAATTYTTTTTATTTATGTGGACATCTTTACCCTAAGAGTTATCTAACCCTGCTAAGGGATTCAATGCTGCTGCAGCACTAACAGGAAATTTAGACCTTGCTTGTGAGGCCTCAGCACCTTTTTCATGAACTGTGACTCTTGCAAATAATGTAATCAGCTTTGGCTAAGTTAGTCATACCATTAAGTACCTGCTGAGTAAGTAAAYAGTGTTTGCAGTCTGATCTTAATGTACACTGTGTTTATTGCAAAGATGGTGAAATCTGGCCAAATACACTTGAATTCATGGTAGGCAGCACTGTTTATACTGTGGAAAAATAAACACTTTCTGCCCCATGTCTTTTTTTTCTTTTTTTCTTTTTTCTTTTCTAATTCAGAAAAAGAAGCTGAAATAGCCAAACTCTGATCAGAACAAAACTTACCATTAAAAATGCATTTAGGAATGTTGAATTCTGTCTACTATTTGTTTCTTCCAGAGCTGACTGGAAACTGGACCTGCTCAGGTGTCTTCAGCATCTTGGGGAAGTTGCCACTCTTGTGTCTAAGCTGGATACACTGTCCTGCAGATTGGCCTGAGCTGGGCAACTTCTTCCTGAGGCACCTCACTCTTTTACCCTTGCTAAATTGTTGGTGCGGGCTGAGATGTTTATGGACATGGGAGTCCCTGACCAATCAACGTGGGAGATGGAGCCCAGTGGAGCTGGACACACCAGCGGGAGTAGGGACAGAAGATGTCTGAGCTATGAAAGCTCAGGAACATATTGGGACACTGTCAAATACAGTGAAAACATYTTCTTTTTTTAAGTTTTCTGCAAAACCCATTCTTTCCTCTGTATTTTCCATTAAAAAAGGGACAAAATATTCTTGGCTAACACAAACTTGCTTCTGCTACATATCATGAGTAATAAATTTATGGCCTATGTCTTCCTATTTAACTGCTTTAAATGGCATCATTTTCTTACCAGATACTGGTGTCAGTGTCATACTGTTACTCCTGACTTCATCTCCAACACGATTAACGAACTTACAATATGCCTGGAACGAAGCTGTGTTGCTGTCTGGTTTTGGTGCCATGTAATTGTACATTATGTAATAGCACAACAAATTTCCTTCTTGCTTTTTTTCTGCATGGAAAAAAAATGAGATAGCTTAATATAGACTTGGGGGTCAATCAGCTAACAGAGAGGACAGAGCTTCTGTAAAACTTTTTTCCTTGTTTCCTAGAGGAAAGGTGATTCTCTTTATGGAGAGTATCTATATGCTGATCTGTCACTGATTTATTAAAAATATTAAGAAGTTTAAAAATTTATATAGATAGTAAATATCCTGGCAGCCACTGCCTGATCAGCATCCTTTTTAGTTGTTGGTGTATGAGCAGATCCTGCCCAAACCATCTTACTATGCAGGAACCAGAATTTGATGTTCTGGTGCTGCTTCTATCACAGACATTTGATTTAGGCTGAGATTTTTTTTTCTTCTGTTCATACATGATTCTTTCAAACTCCAAGTCTGCCCTGCACTCCCATTGCTTTACAATGTCTGAGGATCTCTGATTGCAGCTTCTTCCAAAGGGATCCTGGCATTTTTTCTTCGCAATCCAAAGATCCAGTCTCTCCTGCCTTATACTTCATCCTGTTGCTTTTGCACTCCTACATGTGGTTTTTGTTTTGTTGTTTGTTTGTTTTTTGAACATGTGTGGGTTTTTTGAGTCAGTTTAGGTGCCTTTTCTATGCTCTTTTCTAACCTAGCTATCTTGTGAGCCACTTGACAATTCCCAGAATATTAAACATCTCAAAGAAGCTACAGAACAGCCCCAAATTTAAAACGTAGAATCCTGGGCTTTTGCGCTGTTAATTATATGTTACTTATATCCTTGATGAATATAGGATAGTTTTCTGAATTGCTTTCTAGTACATTATTCTACATTTTTCATGAATTGTAAGATCTTCTTCATAGGTAACATTTCCTCAATAATGAATTCATAAAATATGAGAATGGAAGATAAAAGTAAATACACAGAATTCACTATCTGAACACTGCTGAGGATGCTTATTCTCACTGCCTGGGAAARGACATAAAAATTACTCATATCTGTATTTATCGCTATTGCATTTAACTTTAATATTCCCCTAATTAATGTTAGCCATTCTTCTCAGGAACTGCAGCCACTCTTAAGGAAATAGTATTTTTCTCCGTTTTTATATGCCTGATAGTCCTTGTAAGTGGTCATAATAGCAGTAAATATGAATTGGTTACACGGACTCAACTGAAAACAAACAAAYGCTCAGACACCAAAATAAATATTCAAAAGTACATAAATAATGTCAAGGTGAATAAAAGTCACTGATKAGAATAAAGAAGGATTCTAAGAATATGTGTAAAATATTCCATTTTAATTTTAAAAAACACATTTTGACCAATTCTGAATAGGTGAGAGTAAAAATCTGGTGCTTTCTGATGACTAGGAGTAAGGAGAATGGGCTAATAGACAATAGTAAAACGGGAAGGAACTGGGTATGARTAAGCGTGGAAAGGAACATAATGTGTGAAACCCAATCACGTGAAAAGTAGTTACAGTTTTTAACTCTAACTCTGGAGATTGTGGAGAACTATAGACTGGGGTTGTGACAGTGTAACTGTTAATGCAGCAAGTTTATGGTCACTTACCAGCTTTAAATTCGTTTTGTTGAACCATAAATGTGACATCATAATTTTCAGTGGCTCCTGCATTTATGCAGCAGCTAAGGTGCTGCGGCACATTGCTCTGTATGAACGCCGTGATGGGGTCTACCAGGATGTTCTGCCTCAGAGGCAAGGGAACAACTATGACTGTSGTGTTGGCAGAACTGTTCAGGTTCTTCTGGGTGAACGTGCAGATGTAGGTGCCTGCAAGCAATAACACAGGAATGGTCTCAGACAACAGAGGAGTGTCTCAGCTTTTGTCTGGTCATGAGTGCCAGTTCTGAACAAGATGGGAACAAGAAAATGTGGTGGGCTGCATCATGCCTTGCTGTCCTCCAGCAGTTTTGATTCTAATTCTTTTATTTCCTGTGGCCAGGCATCTCGGTAATCTGCTTGACTAAGGATGCTGTAAATGATCTGGTACAAGGAATTCATTGCCTTTGTAGTCTACACAAACTATTTACTCACCGTTCCAGTCCTCAGTGGCAGTCCTCACACTGAGCACAGACTTGGCTGGGAATTTGCTGCTGTTGATGCACATAGCACAGTCTATGGTTTTCATGTTATTTCCATACTGGATTTCCCAGATGACGCTGTCGTAATTGCTCACATCACTTGTGCACGTTAGATTAAATGAGTTTCCCGCAGAAACAAATGTTTTTATGCTTGAAGTTATGGTTACATTTGCTGAGAAGACACAAGATAAATGGCACGTTATTGACAGTCACTCACTATAGGCAGCCACTTCCTAATGGCATGTGCCACCTGGGCATCACAGAGCTTGTGGCTGGTGTTACATGATGCTTACCTGTTCGGAAATATGTCACTGAGATGTTTTGACTGGTGCTTGCACCATGTCCACTTTGCAGCCCACATGTGTATGTTGTCACCATACCCGACTTCTCAGGTGGACATAGCAATGCATTGACTTGGAGCTTGTATTCAGTGCAGTTTCCAGTGAAGCTGGAGACCCCTAGAGTGAAATAAACAATCCTTGAGGGACTATGAAAGTCTCAAAATACCCAGGCTCTGAAAATCACAGTCAATCACAATAGCTAAGAAGAACCCTGTGGGTTTCTATGTAATCTTTGGTTGCACTTCTTGCTCATCAGTGCTAAAAGCCATGCACACCCCTTTACTCTGTCAACACTTACACTGGTCTTCAAAGGCAAAAGCCCAACAACCATCAAAAAAAAAAAAAAAAAAATCAATGGAAAACAACTGTATTGCTTAGATGTCTCAGGGTGTCAAAAAGAATGTTGTGGTTCAGGCCTACCCTTGTTGCCTATCATATTTAGGGTGAGTAAGATAAGTAAAATATGAGGAAATGCTGCAAATTCTAATGTCATCTTATTTTGAAATAAACATTATGAGTATCTTGACAAGCATTCAACTTTGAATCTGAAGAGTGCAGATTTAGTTGTAAGAGGACAGAACTGCTAAAGCTATCCCATGCTAAAACTGAGTGTATATCTGGTTTATGAGCAAAATTTGTGGATGAAAACCTGGCTGCGATGAATCACACAAAACAGATGATTACATTATTTAATCCTTTCTTTCAGCAAAACCCCTCCACATCATTATCTGTCCCCTGTAGAAATGACTGTGTAGACATGACAAATGAACTTTGAAGGTTTTCTTTCATTTTGCTATCCCACTTTCTGCTGGTTTCATTTATACCAGTTAATAATAAACAGTTAACTCATAGCCATAAAATATTTAAGGGTTCAACAGGGCCATAGATTGTTTATGACCATGCCTTATAGGCATTTATGATGGTTTCTATTCATGCTATCTTGTAATTACCTCTAGCACATTGTTCTTGGAGCTGTATTAACTCTTTATGACTCATAAAAGAGGCCTTACGGGAAGCCTGACTAAGCAATCACATAATAGATCTCAACTACCTATGGAGAGAGAAACTGTGGAGACTTTTTTTATGTTTGCAGGTATGTTGTATCATCTGCCCCTTTGGTTGTCAGATCTTATATGTGGTACCCAGAGGCTTTCACAAACCAAAGGTGATTTTGGAGATATTCCTAGAAGCTGATCCACCACCTTTCCTCTCAAGACTAGAGAGGGCAAAAGTAAGCTTTTTGGAAAACTCAGTATGGTTCTGGTGTAGCCAGGGGCTCCCAAACAAGATGGCACAATTCTGAGCAGCAGTATTTGCATGAATATGCCCCAAATCAGACTAGGATCAAGACAGCACAAATGAAAGACTTTGTCTTCCCCACTGGAGCRCATACCCAATATTCATCCTATAGCCTTGTCTTTTGGGAGGAGCTACTGCCCAATAAAAAGAGAAGAACAAGCAAACCAGGCAATCTTTGTTAATCTTACCTGTAATATTGATAGGTCCATTTACTTTCCAGTCACCGGTTAGTGATGGTACTTGTCTGTCAATACAGCAGAACAGCAAAGGACTGTTTGTCTGCATCTCAGGACTGTCACATGTAACATCAATGTCATTTGAGTGTGAAATGATGTATAGTGGAGAGATATCTATTGCTTTTGTGGCCTTATATATCAGCTTGTAGAATGGACCACTCTTTGTGAAAACGCACATATAGGAACCTGTAAAGCATAGGCAGTATCTGAGAACATGTTTCACCATTGTTTCATCTAAATTTAGAGTTAGGAACTTCACATCTCCCATCACACTGCAATACGATGTGACTGTATTGACTGCAGTGACTACTATTGCTAGTCAAATTTTTCTCTCAGATATGGGACTGTGATGCTTAAAATTCAGCTGATGTGGTGGTTGGGGTCTGAATCCAGGTAGTGGCAACATGTCATGCTAATAAAATGGTTGGACTGTGCAAAAGGTATAGGGAATGAGTGAGAGAGAGGTGCGTGAGATAGAATCCACAAGAACTGGCAGAGTGTGGCCACCTACTCTGCTCAGGAGGTACTGCCAAAGAGAACAGGACGGGCACTTTTTTAAGCATCTATCTCCTGAGTGCAATCTGGGTGCCTTTGAAAGAGGCAGTCTGAGCCCTTCTTCCTTACTTTAGACACACAATTTTTTGGCTTTGTGAGAAGGCCACTCTTCACAGGAGCGGGGACCCCAATATTCAGGCTGTCCTTCACCAGAGGAGGTCTGAACACAAAACTCCCACCTCCTAAATGGCACAAACTATCCTGCATCGCAGCACCCAAGCTTTTTGAAGTCAGATGTAAAATTCATCATCCGAACTCAGGAACGTATACAGAATACAAATACAGAAGTTACAAGGAACACTATACTTTTGCATTTTAGGGAAATGCAATCACTGCATTTTTTTAACATATATATGCAAAATTACTCACACTAGAGATTTCATATGTTGTTTTGACAAGAGAGAAAATCATACCAGAATCTATCGCTGTAACTTCAGTAATTTTAAGAATTGCCTCTGAGGTACTTTGCGTGACTTTTATCATCAGTGAATGCCGGTTGCTGTTGGAGACGATCTGACCAGAATGGTACCAGGTCGCGTTCTCGGTAGCTATATTTGTCTCACAAATCAATGTTATTGTGTCACCTTCAAAAATATCCATGGGATTCACAGTGAAGTTTGTCTGATCTGGGAAGATGAAGACCACSATTCAGTATTATTGTCGTTCAGCTCACATCTTACGGCATCTTTCATCTCATGGGAACCATAGGTGTTTCACAACATATATATTTATATAGTCTTCATCATTTATTTAGATCATCTGTGGTGTAAGATATGTCATTTATTTTTCCATGATAGATTCTTTTACTGTCTTTGTCAGCCATAGATCCCAGAAATATCATCACCACTACTTTTTAAGTACAAAAAAATGGGAAGAGATAACCAGGTTGAGGTAATTCTCCAAGTTTAGGACAGACAATCCAGTGCTTAGTGCATGGAGAGTACAGCACTTTCCAGGGCAGTTGGTCGGGCTACTGAAGTGTGGCAGATCCTCCAACACTGGGATGGAAATGTGCCAAGGGAACCAGAAGGAACCCACTCATATAAAGAGAAAGAGATTTATTGATTTGTTTAAAGAAGAAGCAAATACTGGCAGCCTGATATGCCAAGGGTTGTCACAGTTCTTGAAGTGAGCTGAAAGGTATTCAGTCTCTCTCYCATGGAGAGATTGCATCAGGGTTCAGTGGAATTGCTGGAAGGATTTGGTTTTCTGTGGGAGCTACTGGGTGGATGGCCATCATCTCTTGTAATTCTTTAGCTTTCATGATGTGTGATGAGATGAAATGAAACAGCCAGAAAAATGCAGCATTTTTGAAGGACCAGTACCAAGTTATCAATAGTATAAGGCAACTGCATGGATAAGTTTAGCACTTCCAAGGAATGTGACAAAGAGAAATATCCAGAAAGTTTTAAACTTACCTGTTATTTCTGTGGTAAAGGAGGTGGGGTTTAGCCTGTAGGAGGTATCTAGAAGTTGTGGTACATATCTGTTAGAATCTTCTATCTGTTGGAAGGTTGCTGATGCTGCTTTTAGTTCATAGTTCACAGAAACACTTCCAGGCCTGAGCAGGTACAAATGACCAGAAAGAAACAAACTTGCATATTAGTGGATTAATTTGTTGTTGTGATTCGTCCTGCATGAGTAGGAAAGTGTGAGCCCATGAAAGGCTCCTCCTGTAACATAAGACTTGTCCTTGTGTACAAGAAGTTTGTGCTACAGGTTTTCTGCAAGCCAGGACACTTTTAAGGGCCATGTCCTCGGCCTGGATGCCTACTTCTAGTAAAATTCCCTTAGAAATCCTGAAATGCAGCTGCATTTAAATAGGGGTTGACTTAAGTAATGTCTCTTGTATTGATATCCAGTGTTGCGTCCAGAGCCAATTTACTAATTCATCTGCCTAATGGCCTGGGAGATATTCCTATAATTTGCATCCCTTTTTTCTTTTGGATGGAATTCAGCCTTTTCAGAGAGCCTATGAAAGGCTTTGAACCAGCTGAAGAGTTATTTTATACAAACTTTTGCACAGCAGTAACTTCTAACACATTTTCATGCTAATACCTGGGTTTTCCTTTGCTTATATTGTACTGTTATTCACTAGGTATGTAACAGTATAGTTCTAAACACAGTGAATATTGTTTTTGATGATCTACTCCTAACTGAGCCTCATTAAGGAGACAGACAGAAAGATGTCTATTCCAGAAGAAAGAAATTGCTTCCTTACCTGAAACTGGTTACTGTTGCTGATACAAAGCCTGGTAAGCATGTATAGCTCTCATTAAACTGGAAAAAAAAAAAAAAAAACCCAAAGAAAGAGATATTAAATGGCATGTATCCTCTATATCTTACTCCAAGCTGCTTAAAATAGGAAGAATAGAATTCTGGAATTTAAATCTAGAATTGAATAGAATTCAACATGGACATAATTAAAAGCACATATATGCTGGTATAATGGGCCTTCTCCCTTTCACTGGGATAAATTTGTGCTGATAGTTTCATTCTATAATTATATCGCTTGCATGGTGTCTTAAGTTAGGACCAATATAGTGAAAATAGTAATGCTTTTTTATATTAAAAGATCTTAAATACTTCCCTGCCTAAATGTATATTTAAAATAAATGGGAATGTTGCYGATGTGTTACTGTGCATAATAACTTTGGCCCTCTTCATAGCTACCACTGCTGCATGCTTCACAGCTCCCCACTGGCACACAGACAGGATACACTATTTTACAGATAAGACACTGATACTTAGGATAAATTCTGTACTTCTTAGGTGACTAGGTGCCTTTGGAGATGGGAAAAAAAATCTTTACCGCTTTTTCAAGGTCAGTCTTGTATTTTTTGTATAATTCAGAAGAAGAATCCATGAGATCATTTGAAAAGACTGTGTCAAGTCTGACCGAAATATTTATTGCAAGGGGCTGTTCCATACCACAAGAATCTGTAAGAAAAGGATAAAAATGAATGCATAATTAAAAATGATAATTACAGAGTGATTTCTTGGCTTTCTGTTCTAACATAATCCACTATCTATTCAAGCCTAAATCTTGCAACTTGCTCTGATTCAGCTGTATGACAGGAAAAGTAGGGTCCTCCCAACTGTCTTTATCTGAGAGATCTGGTGTCTGCTGGATGTCTCTGCTTCTTCAGTTGATGCAAAGCTGTAGGTACTTCCAGAATGTGATACATTCAGAAGGCAGTAGACAGCTTTCCTAAAATGGTTGAATTGTCACCAAAGATTTCCAGTTGTAGAGGGAGTTTAAATGACTAACTTTGACCAGATGATTAACTTCTACTTGGCTAAAATCAGGTGAGACAAATTTCCTTCATAGGACCAGGTTCTGTCCCATTGAAATGAATGGGAAAATCCTCAATGATTTCAGGAGAGTAAAATTTTGACTCAAGACTTATCAATCAGCACAAGAGAGGGAAAAATGCTTAGAAAATTGCAAGAAAATAAAATAATAATAAAAAAAAAGATATGTTCTTCTTTTTTGTTCCCTCTCCTTATAAGAAATAAAACACAATTCGGTCACACTTTTAAGTTCCTCTGTTGAAAGTCTGAGGATACAAAACTTGCTTTGCTTAGCAAAAGCTGAAAGTCTCAGGGAAGCAAGTGAGTGAGCTGGGACTCCAGCATGGACACTAAATATTTCTGGTACCCATCTCAAGGCAGTGTCACATCACGATGCCAAATATGAGTTCCAAGGCATCTCTGTAGACTTTGCACATTTTTTCTTCTAACCAGCATGTAGGTTCTACAGTGATGAAATTCAGCACTGTTTCTCCTTACCTGCTGTCTGAGGCTCACAGTAGGGCCCATAGAAAGGCAGTTGCTTGATGTAGCCACAGGACTGTGTGGATGCTAGACTGACAGCAGAGCAAGTTMTCAAGTCACCACAAACTGATCTTGGCCATGCTTGTCCACTTTCACAGGAGCAACAGCTCTTGTTCTCCCCCGTGGGCAGACAAACTAGCATCAGACAGAAAGAGAAGTACGTGAGAATGCCAAATGGGGCATAACATATTGCATGATATATCATAGAWTCATAAAATCATAGAATCCTTAAGGTTGGAAGGGACCTCTAGAAATCATCTAGTCAAAACCCCCCTGCACACGCAGGGTCATCTAGAGCATTATATTTACCTTGCTGGACTTTTATGCCAGTGATTTTAAGTAATTGTTGCCTTTCTTGTCTGTTCAGTTAGTTGATGCAAACATGGTGATTTGATGCTTTGCAAATCTTACCATACTAATCATAAAACACTAACCAAGTAGGCTTGTGCAAGGATAAGTCTGATCAATTATCTTTAAGCATTACATGAATGAAAATGTGAAGCCTGATCCTAAAAATTTTCCTGGCATATTGGCGAAGGCCATATCATAGTTTTAAGACCGGATATTTAGTCTATTGCCTAGGCTAAAAGTAAACATCATACATGCTTTTCAAGTAATAACAACCTTCAAAAGTATTTGTGATCTTGATGGCTAGTGAGACACTGTGTCACTCTCTATCTTGACATCTTACACGATGATTATGTGTCTTGACATCTGMGTGCTGCATGAGAGAAGGCAACATTCTCAGGAAGTTCTTTCAAAACAAACATTCTCTAATCAAAATTCATTTCACTATAAGTTTTCCTGTTCTTGATGYGCTATTGGTTGCTCAAATAAATTTAACTGTCAAGCGAACAGAATAAAATATTAACAAAACTTTTTTTTCCACGTAGCATTTGATCTTGAAGGCCCTTAAAGTAGTAGTTTGCATGTTGTTTTGAGAACTTATGGACACTTCCTTTCACTGGTCTCAATCCAGTGATAAGAAAGCACAAAACATCCCGCTCTACTATTGTAAATACTTGGTGTGTTTATATGGCCTCTAGTATTTTTTTAATTATGTGGATATGATGTTGCAAAGTGACGGCTCAGATAATATATCCAATATCCTGGCCTTAAGAATAATTTAGAGAGTTGCATCAGGAAAAGATGGCATCCCATGATGCATGTCCTTGTTGGGGACAGAGTACAACCTCTTATTGTTGTCATTTACTTTCCAAATGCAAGCTTGAGGGAAGTGAACGCTCTGATAATTGCTGATACAGCTTCCTGAAACTTAAAGTAACTCAGACTATTAGTTATTCAAACTGGAGCAAAACCCTTCAGCTCAGCATCTCAAGGCTACTCCCAATGCCAATGTCATGCAAAAAGAAGCAGCAGGGATGTAGATGACAGAACATGATGTTATGTTGTGTGCTGAAGCTTCGGTCCTGGGCCTTTCAGTAGGYGCCAGAGACAGCTCAGTTTTGTTGACATCTAAGTGTGGTGGATGATAAAGATGGGAAAGATTAAATACTGACAARAAAGCACATTTACCAGAATGCAAGAAAAACAACCAACCCACCTGTTGTAACATTGAGGCTTGAAACTGTCATCTCCACATTTGAAACATTTGATGTAGCTGGAAGACTAAGGTTCTTGAAATATTCTTTCATTGGCTCCAGATAAGATGAATCGGTAAGGCTTACTTCAATGTCAATAGTATACTCCACAGCAGGCAAGTCAAAAGTAATCACTGAAAAAGAAATCGGATGAGACTGCAAAGCTATGTGTTATAAGCCGATACCTCCAGGTCAACATTTGGGCTCTTTGTTGCTGTTTAGTGTTAACTGAATGTGATATTCTGCTTCCCATTTCCKAATCAGTGGATATTCCACACGTGTCCTATCTGTTGCTTCTTTGACAAAAATAAAATAAAATAAAACAAAAAAAAACAAGTGATTTCTTTGGACTCAGACCAATAGGAAATTGATATAAGTGGTATTATATATACAGAAAAAAGCTGCCTCATCCCTCTCATCTTCAGCTCAGCAAGTGGATAGGTTGTCAGCTGTAGACTGAGGCCATATGGGATTATCATGTGAATTTGTCCTGCTAAAAATCCTTTATTTTTTCCTACACCATGTATTTCATATGGCAGAGAAAGCTGTGCTCATGTATTTCAATCTCTGACCAGCTAAATATTTCCACCACTGTGGCTTCTGCCTTTGTTACCTCCCRCTTTTTGTTGACAATCCATAGAGATATGCTGTCCCCATTAGTYATTTCATCCATTGTTTGCTAGAATATCTGTTCTGGTATCATCCATTTGTGCACATACCATTTCGCTTCTGCCTTTGCCACTCTGAGTGGAAATGTTCCTCTTCTAGAGCACTGTCCATCTGCCAGAGAAGGCAAAAGAAAGTTTTAGCTGCTCTTGTTATCATGATAGAAACAGTGACGAAAATATACGCATAAATAAGAATGCTGCCTCCACTCTTCTCCTCCCCCTCATCCTCTTTAAATAGAATATTTATATCTTCCAAGCGGGGATATGTTAAGCACCAGCTGAAGGGCTGTACTGAGCTTGCATCTGCCTCTTTGCATATATCCACAAGGTGAAATGCTTGAGCTTAGCAGGAATTCTGCGGCTAAGCCACAACTGCCCACAGAGCTGCCTGGGCAGGGAGAGCTCTCTGGCAGCTTTGCAAACCACTCTGGATGCATCTGGACCTTCTCCTGATTCTGTCCCCTTGCACCCCGTTTGGGCAGATATGTGTGGTAGGTGGGATCCCTATGCTGCTGCCCTGGAAGGAATAATTGCTCCTGAGATAAGATATTGCTTGTGGGATTTGGGGGAAATGAGTTCCACACAGTCTTCTCCATTCAGTTCCACTCAGAGAACTGATGTTGCCCTTTACTTTCCTCTTTGCCCTGAAATTCCAGCTCCAAAGTAGCACAACCAGATGCAGGAGGAGCAGAAAGAGGATTGAAATGCCTTGGCTGCAGTTTAGATTTTAGAACAAATAGCTATTTCATGAGTCATTACTAGCACACCATTGTGTAGGACTGGTGGCAGTGGTGGCACAATTTCAGAGCGAGTGGATTCATGCAAGATGCGGCCAAATGAGATGCAGACCATCTTATTTTTTAGAAATACACTAAAAATAAACTGGCACCATTGTTAGGAATAAAAGCTAAAGAAAAGCAGACGCAGGCAGGAAATTTGAAGCTTTGCCAGTTTCTTCAACACTACTGAAATTTTTATTTACAGAAAGGGTGAATAGCTTGGCAACTCTTAAGTCATCTCTTTACATAAAGGAACCATCTGGTGTGTGATTAGAGTTGGACTTCATATCACAGTTGTTCTGGTGCTGGAGATCCCAAGGAGTGTTGGCATTTTTAGACAGCCAGGGGTGCTCCCTTTCATCTTGCTCAGAGATCAGCTCAAATTGTTAAAAATAAAATGATTTGTGATCCACTGTGATCCACTTCTTTCTCCAGGTTTGGTCTAGGTGGTTTCCTTTTTTAATTGTCCTCCCAAGCAACTGCAGAGTATTTTCATATTGTTAAATACTTAACACCATATTCACACCAGTAAGTAATGACTCATATGTAGGGTGTATCATGGCTCAACGATGCTAGGAAATAAGTGATTGTTTTTTTTTTCATGAAAATGCCTAAGTGCTGAGTTGGAAGCACTTTGAAAACACAGAACAAACAAGATACTTGGTCCCTATTAACCATCCACAGTAGGGCAGAAGGTGCAGCAGGAACCAGTTTGTCTTGATTTGCCAAGGTAGGGATCGGTGGCAGTAACAGCATGAGGAGTTCCCATCTTCCACACCACTTCTGGTGGCCTCTTTTCAGCCTGATTAAAATAAGTTCATTGTCCACTGGCTGGTAAAACCATAGCAGGATGCCATGAACCACAGCAGGGAAGGAATGCAGCTTAGAAATGTTTTATTTTTGCAGTTGTCTTCTGTTAAGTCTACTGAGGTTAAGGGTCCTTTGTTGCTAGAGGCTGAACATAGATGCAGAGGGGATCATTTTGACTTGAAAGGATTTATAATGCAGAAGCCTTCCCTCATCTAATAACTGTGATAGACTAGAAATTGGTAGATTTATAGACTAATTTTCTTTAATAGACAATGAAATTATACTGAATCAGTCAGTCCTTTTGTTCCTCTGTTCCTCTTTTATCCTTTCTAGTTAGAACTTTTTGTGAAAAGATATCTTCTACCAAACACATATACAGCACTGAACACAAACGGATTTCCATGATACAGAATACTAGTATGAATCATTATCCCAGAAAATTATCAAAAAAAGTAGGAAAATGGAGTTAAGTCTGGGTCCAACCTCAGCATCTTATAAACAAGGTCAGTCAGGAGCAGTGTTTTATTCATATGTACTCATGTCCTACTGTCAGGACATCAGTGAGACTCCTGTCACCTTCATGTAAGCTTCTCCATATCTGCACTGGTTGTATCAACCCCCCACTTCTAGGCAAGATTCATTTGTCCTGTTCTGGGTCTTTGTCRTAGGATGATAAAGCCCATTTAGGAGCAGTATCCACATAACTTAGCTAGGCTTAACTCAGGATAGAACAGATAAAAACCCTTGCAGACTTAACATGTTGAGGTAACAGAAATTTTGCTCAGTTGTCTTTGGAAAGTGGGAAGAAGAGCTCAACTCCTGGCTTATCCATTTATACCATTGGAGAAAATTTTAGGGCCTTAGTTTGAGTGCATGATCTTATACTGACTTCCTTTAAGATTTTATCCATGTAAGGCAGAATTATGGCAGCATGGTCATTATAAGCAGAAATAAGTGAAAATCAGTGGTGCTGAGAAAGGATACTCACTTCATATTGGATGAATGGATCAAAGTCCAAGCCTTGTGATATATGGCACCTTCCTGCAACAAGTAGAAATAAGCAGCACAGAGCTGCAGTATCCCAAGATGGCATTTTGTTAAACATCTTTGCTGTACAGCCTGAAAGCAAAATGCAGCAAAAAGGTTAGGAAATTTTCAGTTGACTCACAACTCACACAGTAGGAAGCATCAGCACACTGCACAAAAATGGTATTTTCAGAATATTTCAGTATGCATAGCCTATTTGCTATGTACAAGACATAACATGGAACAAGATACATAATTATTCCCCTTCCACTCTCACCAGAGTATTTCTCTCATCTCTCTCTTTTTTTTTTTTTTTTTTTATGCAGCTATGGCCACCCTAAGCGGAAAGAGAAATAAAGGTCCTGGAGAAAGCAGACTCCAAGCAGATTTCTAATAGCATCAGGGGAGGTGACAAAATTCCTCTCCCATGACAAAAATTGATTTTGGCAATTATTCCTCTCAGGAGCACTTAGCAAATGCACAGAAAGAACATGGGAAATACTGAAAAGTGTTGCTATTACTGAGGATTTGCTCCATTGCAGCTTGGCTAACAAGAGTAGATGTGGTTTCAGCCAGACTTATAAAAAAAAAAAAGTGAAGCTCCTAAGATCTTTGTAGAGTCTATAGAGTAAATCTCTTAAAGGGGGACCCCATGTGCACAGCTTTAGGGATCTAAAATGGGTAGAGAAAACTCTTCCTTAAGGCTGATATTTTTTTGATTTCTTGTGAAGAGTGACTGCTTAGTAAGAGCTAAAAAAATAGCAATGTTAATGAATTTGTCAGACTTTTAGCTGTGTATTAAAATTCTCAGCCTCCTGCATGGAYATCCCTGCCTCTTGAACAGAGGTGTCTGATCTGCTCCTGAACTACTTCAGCTTTCAGCACAGCAAACTAGTAAAGGAATATTATTTGGGCCTGCTTGGAAAATACCATGCATTTAATCATTTTTGCCATCCTCTGCTTTCATCATTTGCCCCTTTTTATTATCCACCTGTTTGAGAGAAAATTCCTGGATTGTAGATGATACTAAATGTGGAGGAATGACTTACAGATGTTTATGCTACTATTCAGAARGAATTTGACAGACTGGAGAATGGGCAGACAAGAGCCTCATGAAGTTCCACAAAGGGAAAAGCCAAGCCCTGCCCTGGGAAGCAATAACCTCTTCCATAAGTATATGCTGTTGGCTCACCAGCTGAAGAGGAGCTTTGCAGAGAAGGATATGGAGGGTACTGATGGTCAAGCTGAACAAGACCCAGCAATGCACTCTCATGGCAAAGAAGACCAATAGCATCCTGAGCTGCATTAGAAAGACTATTGCCAGCAGGCTGAGGGATGTGATCTTCCCCCTAAATTCAACTCTGGTGAGGCCCAACACCTGGAGTGTTGTGTCTAGCTCTAGGCTCCTCAATTCAAGAGAGACATGGATATGGACATGGATTCAAGAGAGACATGGACTGGAGGACATGAAGATTACTAAGGTCTGGAGCATTTGTCTTATGAGGTACAGCTGAGAGAGTTGGGACCATTTAGTTGGAACCAAGAGAATGTTCAGGAGGCTCTTGTGAATTTGTATAAATGTCTCATGATGCAGGGGCAAAAGCTCTTTTCRGTGGCTCTTTTCAGTAGTGAAAAGCAAAAGCAAAGACTGAATGAATGAAATTATATCTGAACATAAGAAAAATTTATTCACTTTGAAGGTGGTTAAACACTGGAAGCATTGCCCAGGAAGGTTTTGGAATCTCCATTCTTAGAGGTACTCAAAAGCCAGCCTGACATAGTTCTGAATAACTTGCTGCAGTTGACCCTGTTCTGAGAAGAGGGGGTTGCCCTCGATGATCTCCAGAGGTGCCTGCCTACCTCAACTGTTCTGTGATTCTGTGATTTCATCTAAAAAAAATTTACAGATTCATCATCTGTGTACATTATGCTCTTAAATTACATGTAAAGTGATCCCTTCCACACCCAARCATTAAGTGATCTCTCACAGTTCAGTGCATTTCAGCATTTTTAGATCATCTTTCTGTGAAGTTTGAAGTAAATATTGACACCACCAGAAAGGCCTATAAGGGAGAGAAATCTGAATGCATTGCCAGCAAGACATCCTGAGATTATCTCCTGGGGAAAAAAGTGTGTAATTTAGGTTTTTGGAATACACTACCATTAACAACATGCAAGAACATAATGTTGTACCTGAAAACAAGCCCTGAAAAAAAAAAAATCATATCAGTAATACCTATACCATGATTTACTCATGCAGTAGATTAGATAATGAAACATCAAGGGCAAGCAAGCCATGCATGGACTCTTAAAGAAGGTGCTGACACACTTTATTTACCAAGAAGGAATGAAGAAAAGGAGCTGAAGAATACTGCAAGCTTTGTGTTTTGCTATGAATATTTATTTTGTATGAATATGTATGTTTGAATATGAATATCCCTAGTGGAGCAATTATCGAGTTCCAGAATGAACAGTTAATGAGAGCCATGGAAAATGGCAGAGCTCAAGCAGGTTGCAAAAATCATTTTAAGAAAGACAAGCACTGTGGAAACATTCTTAAGAATAGCCCTGAAGAGCATTGGAATGGATAAGATTAACTTGATTAAAATTCTGAACACTGTCAGTGGGTGACACATCACCCATGGCAGTGATTCACCCAAGCAGACAGGGTACTTCACTGATTAGTATGTCCTGTGACAAATACGTATATATAATGTAAGCATGATCTGTGATCTTACCTTGGGAATAGAAGGAGGAGGGCAATGAGCTTATAGCCAAAAAATACCCTCAAAGTCACTGACTTGGATTTCCCTGACAGGCATTTGTCACTGTTCCTCAGCAAAGGTGGTTCTTGGTGAGATTCATCTGTTGTGGGACTTCACCTAGATATAGACCAGGATGAAAGACAGGAGACAAGAGTTGGAAGAAGTGGTCAGTTTTTCCAATGGAGAGATGTCATTACCAGAGCACACAGGAACAYACATGTAAATTTGCTTCTTACCATCTCTTTTCAAATAATGAGGAAAAGACAGCATGGAAAACATTAAGCAACTGAGATTAACACATCCCTACTGTCTTTGAAGATCTGTGTAGGGACCCCATTAAATGAAGTTCAACACTGATAAATAAAAGATAGAGTACACAAAAAAGAATGATCCTTGTATCACATATTCTATGCTGTTACATACGTGCCCTGCTTTTAATATTCTTTCAAGTAAAAATATCATAGGGAACATACTGTGCTATCTAGACTTCTGAGCTGAGTCAGTGTGTCTATTCTATGCTCCTATATAGAATTAGCCAGAAAGAAAAGGATCTCATCGACTCATAGTATCCAAAATAGGTAACCTTAAAACAAATGTTGTTAAAGGCTTTGTTTATCCATCAGATGAATATCTGACAGGACTGAGAAAAAATGMAGGGAAAATGTTTTCTCAGGTTCTTGAGCATCTCTATCAATATCCAGAATTCCACCAAAATAAAAAATAAAAAATAATTTTAAAAGAGACTATTTTGCTATTTGGAAGACATCAAGCACTTGTGATAACACTGATAACATCAAGACTTCCTTGGATCAGGCTGATCCCTAGATCAAGATACATCAAGAGAGAAGCCAGAAGCAGTGAAATGGGTACTTTAGATTGCCAAATGACTCAGTAATAGACTAAGAAGAACAAGATCTATGATAGTCTTGTATGTTTGCCATATACACACTATGTTTACTGTAGTAGCTTAATCTGTACAAAGAACTTGTATTTCAGTGATAACTGGTTGATATAACAAATAGGTAAAAGAAAAGAAAAAAGGCCATTAAAAAAGGGAAGTTTTTGCAGCTGTTATATTTTGCATATATCTTTCCACTGTTCACAGCCTTGCATTCATATTCAAATATCGTGGGTTATTCTGTAACCTGAAATAAACCCTTTGTGCAACCATGTAACCGAGACCAAGCAGCCCATTAATTTAATATATGCTAAACTATATAGAAGATAACTCATGTAAATAATGCTGTGCTGTTACTCAAGTTTTAATAGCTAGTTAAGAGTTCAAAAGTTTTGAAACAATATCTGGACAATTAGAAAACTAGCAAACAAAAATCAAATTGCAAAAGAGATAAAACTTTTCAACCAATGTGGCTGTTCTTTCATTTAATTCCTTGCTGAAAAAAAAAAGACTCGATGGAAACTTTCTAGCAAGAAAYTGCTGCATTATATATGCACACATAACTGGAAAATGAGAAGCTATGTGGACATATTCAGCATTCTGGATATAAACCATCTGCTAGAGGCAGTATTATTGACTTAAAACAGCCCAGGAGAACTTAGGTAACTAAAGCTTGATAGCAAATCTCTTCTTCCCCACAGCATTCAGGAAAAAAAAAAAGAAAGAAAAGAAAGAAAAAGCATTATTTGATTATCTGAAGTTAATTTTAAAATACAAAAGATTCAATAGCTTTAAGTAGATCACAGATGATCTACACGTCCTTCCATTCTTTTTTTTCTCTTAGTTTTTCTTTTTCACAAATGTTGCAAAAATAATGACACATTGTCTTGCAAATCCACCTAGCACAAAAAATATTAATCCATACTTTTAGAAAGCAAAGAAGAAACACAAAGATAGTTTACCTTTTCAGATGATTCAAAGAGATGGTCTTCTAATTAGATCCATGCCATCTTAAAAGTCGTCTGCTTTCCACAACAGCCAAGGTTGCTTTGATCTCTCTAAAATTGAATACACTCATAAGAGCTCGTATGATTAACCGAGCATGTTATTACTGCCTGGAGAACATGTTGTCTCTGGAGTCTGCACTTGATTTTCAAGTGTGAGGCTGCCCAGAGATGCCGCTGCAAAAATACAAGGAATTTGAAGAGATATTTCCTGATACCATTCATCAGGTAGCTGCATTATTTCCCCCTGTGCTGATCTAAGTCCTTCAGTGTCTTATCTGCAAATTACTTTATCACGTGGACGGACTTGTTCCACAGCTCTTATTCACCTGCTCTGTTCTAATGGAAACAGTGGGTTGAGAACCGTATGCAGTAAAAATGTTTGTGTAGCTGGGGCAAAATATTTATGGGCTCTGATTTAAAAAACAGAGGAGGGAAAACCTCAAGTGTTTCCTACCTGAGCTTGCAGCATKCTTAGCTTGTCAGGTGCATGAGCAGGCTCTGAGGACATGTACAGACTCAGACCTAGACTCGGATGGCTACTGTGGTGGTTGGTGAAGAACAGGAAATTCCCCAAACTAGGCAGGGACTTTGAGTTCTTATCTGTTTTTCTACCTTGAACCTTTCAAGAGCTGGGAGCCCTCTGCATAAACACAGGACGTCCAAATAACAATGGAGTTTTTGTCTCTACAGTATTCAATCGCAACCAGCTTACCAGTGGAGTTTGCACCTGTAGTGGTGCAYATGAGGCAGTGACTTGCTGAACTCAAGCGATTTGTCTAGAAGAACTTGGGAGTCATTTTATATGAGATGAATTTATTTTTTTAAGCAACAATTTCCTCAGCAGATGAGTCTATGCAGATAGTTCTGTTCCCTCACAGACTGGGAACAGTCYCTCTGGAGATCTTAACTTCTCATAAGAAGGCCTAGGATGGGCTGCTATAGGGGCAGTATACATGTCAGGTGGGTAGATGCACCCCAAGATCTCCAGGGTCACCATACAGCAGTGGAAGGCCAGGTGGGACACGTGAAGGCATCCCAAAAGACAGGCAACTGATTCAAGCCATAAATCTCTTTCATTGTTGACTGCAGAATAATGGTGGCCCAAAAAAAGTGAATATAAAGTCACCGGTTGAGGTGACATGGCTTCACCACTTCTGTAGTGCTTCCCAAATTAAGGGTTCATGACCCCAGAGCTGRTCCTGGGTGCTAAAGTAAAGTCATGTTGCCAACTGAATTTTGTAGTTTGTGATAAATGGTGTTGACCCTAGTAGAACTGGAACAGGAGGGTTGGCTATCAGAATATCCTTTTGCATTTTCATTYCAGAGTAAGCTCAGGCTAGATCTTCATCCCTCCATTGGCTATCTGTGCAGAGGATGCTTTTTGCCCARTTTCTTCAAGCTCTGTGACATGTCACACCGTATTTGCCCTTTTTCTGTACCTGTGTCACTAAAAGCAAAAAATTTCCCTGGGCCTTTGCAAGTGCTAGCATTTGCAAGGACATTGTGGTGCGTGATTGTTAACTTCTTCCTGCTAAGCCAGGTGAAGGGGCCCTTGTTTTTGGCAGCACAACCTGCCTGCTCCTGTTCTCTTTCCTGCAAAGCTGCCCACTCACTGCTGCCTCTATGGTGGTGAGTCAGTRCTCAGCCTGCTCTTTGGCAGCAGTTTTAAGCTGATTAAATTGGCACAGCTGATGTCCTTGCTGGCAGATCCAGTGTTGCACTGGCAATGGTCTTGTTTGATGCCTGCCTGAGCTGCCTCAGGGACCTAAACATGCAGAAAATCAAGGCTACAACAGAGTTTGCAACCATCTATGTTTCTGGAGAGGAGTTTTACTGATAACTACATGCCATATCTAATGCTTTTCAGGCCCCTCAGTGATTTAACTTATTCTCTCTACAGAAAAATAAGCCTAGCTTAAGACAGACTTAGCTGTAGTGGATCCATAGTTCCCACAGTACCAGCTCTATGCCAAAGAAATGATCTGATTTAACCTCTCTACACCTACTTTTTTTTTTTTTTTTTTTTTTTATTTTCTTTTTTTTTTGTGCTTTCAAAATATTTAACCATCAGCACCTTGGAGTATAGGAATGGGGTAAAATAGTGKCAAGGGGAWGAGACTCCTTAAAATAGGGTTTTTGCTGAAAACAGTGGATACGGTCAGTGGATAGCCTAAAAAGTATCGGAAATCTGTGTTTGCTTTACAGGAAAACTGCAATGTCAGAGCATTAGGTGCCATAATCAACGTGGTACGTGAGCACAGAGGGATCACTAAATCTAATCATCTTGGTAAATGCTTTTTTTCCCTCTACTTGGTCATCAGGTATCCTCATGTCACCTGAAACTATGAACTCTCTGGAGATTAGAGTTCTGATTTAGCAAATATTTTGAAGGAGAAAGCTACAAACATCTCCTCAGTTGAAGGAAGTGGATTTAGCTAGAGGTAAGCTTGTTTCTAAGGCAGCTGTTGTTTTTGTTTATACATATTTAAAGTAGTGGCAGGTGAGCAGGTTACAGAATGCCCTGTATGCTGTACAAGCAAGCAAAAAAAAAAACCCCAAAAATCTGCCTTACAGAGGTTAACCAAGGTGAAATGCAGAACCAGGTGGTTCTGACCCATTTGGGGTCGCTGGAGGCTACTTGCCTGCCTGTACCACGCCAAAAGCACATCCATCATTAGGTTTGCATGACAACGAATTACCAGCTACCAGGGGTTCCACACAGCCCACCTGATAATGGTCCTGAAACTATTCTGCCATCAGTTATACCCATCAGGGCACAAATCAGCTGTGTTTATTATCATGATTCCAACCCAGAGCAGCTGCACTTTAAACATTTGCACCTGCACCTTGAGAGTTAGGACAGGCCAGACAGAATGCGAGGGATATCTGCTCTGAACTAGGACCATCCTGTGCAAAATAAGGCAGAGCTTTGCTGAGCCTTTGCTTCACTAATTCATTGGCGTTACAAAAGTAGGGGGACACGTTTCACTTGGTGCAAGCAAACTMGGACATGGTAGTGCTCCAATGTATATGCAACCTGAGACATACCATGCAAAGCAAAAGCAGACTTGAAAACAACTTAGAAGTGAAATTAATAGACATTGCTCTCTAAACTTATCATCACCTTCATTCCAATCCTTGAGAACAACTTAGAAGTGAGATTAATAAGATATTGCTTTCTCAACTCATCATCTTC